GAGGCAGCACCACTCTCACCACTGGTCCTGAGGGGTTCATTTGTCCTGGATTCCCTTTGTTTCCAGTCCCTATCTGTACCAGTGTACATCCTCTGGTCTAGCCAGACTTGCAAGGTAGAATTGGAATCATGATAGTGGGGTGGGGAGGAAGCATTTAGGACCTAGAGGAAAGTTGTAAGTTTCATCGTTGCTACATTGCATCCTGACTGGCTCTTCTCCTCCCTGAGACCCTTCTGTACGGGGATGTCCAGTGGCCCAGAACTGCATTAAAGGGTCCTGGCATAAGGAAGGTTGAGAACCGCTGCCTTGGTGTTTCACCTCCAGGTGGTGGGGTCAGATCAGTCGCAATTCCCGCACTGTGTCTCAAATGTTGTCCCCAGTAGCGCTATGGGTCAATGAGGGAGAGCATGTAGGTCGGTCTCGTAGTGGGGCCGGCCCTATGGTCCTCTCTGCATTGGCTGCTCTGAGCGGGGATATCGTCCTCAAGGCTTGGTGGGTCAGGATGTGCTCCACTCTCTTCTCTTCCCCTTCATTTGCCTTTTGTGCTCTGATCAGACATGGCCCGCTCCCTGAGCTGTAGCTTCAGTGCTGTCCTCTGAAGTGAATTCTTCTGCTGGTGTGGGGAGTGGGGGGGCTTTGTCCTCATAGTTGGGATTGGAGCCGGCCCCTCAGACCTCTCTATTGCTTCCCTGCTCCATGCCGGCATGTTGCATTCACATCTCGGACCACTGGGTTCGAGTCTGGTCCCGCTTTCCCTGTGAAGATATAAACAATAACCTCCCCTTGGGTGGGTTAGCCATCACTTCTATTTTCATTTGGGAATTCAGAAATGCCTATTTTAATACTTACTAATTACCAAGCTAAATCTTAAAAAAAAAAGATTTAAAGATTTCTTTCAGAGGGTATCTTCATAAGAAATGGCTCAAATTTCTAAATGTGTGAGGGTCTTAAAGAGCTATAACACTTCCATGAGCAGATGCATTTTAACAGAGAGCAGAGCTTTTATGAAAATCAACATGTTTTCACAAAAACTAACATTCCTATTCTGAAAGAGTCTCAGCAATTTAGCCACTTCAAATATAAAATTACTTTTCCTTTCGGGGTGGGCGCTGGTTTGGAGGTGGGGCTACTATAGAGAACTTCAAATGCACATAAAAGCAGCAAGAATAATGTAATCAACCTCTGTCCTCATCATCTTCGATGATTCCCTAGCTATAATTTAATTTCATCTGTGAATATTTCAGCATGAGTTTACAAAAGTTAGGGATTCCTTTCCTTAACATAACCAATGCCATTGTAGCATCTGGGGTCTTAAAGGCTTGAAGACAAACAAGCGGCCAT